ATGAAGAGCGTTCAACAATCAATTACCGTTAGGGATTAGTTTTAATTACATTCTATATATTTATCTTAGTCTTGCTATGTCGAAAGAACAAGARGAAGAAAATGGTGGCCGACCACCAWCCCCTCAAACACCTTCATCGTCTGTATCAGGACCGTTTGATAACTCTCCTAGAAAGAAGCGTTCACCCTACCACTCAGATAAAGGCTATGGATCTACAAATAGCTTGTCATCGGAATCTTCTTCTAATGGTACATACAACTTAATTTAAATCGAATTAATAAACACCCGACAGTAAGCAATGTGTAAATGAAACATCGCTGATGGTGAGAACAGTATAATATATTGATTTTTACTTTGGGTGACAATTTTTGTTTTATATATGAAGTGCCACGTAAGTCCCATCTCGGTTCCTGGACTGGGAATCATGTGTCATTTTCGATTGTAAGCTGATTCCTTCTAGTATTCCCAGGATTTCCTGGGGTCCTTGTTTTTTGACCTTCATTGAAGACAAGTACGATCCATTGCTTATTTATATTTGTAGATGTGTTTCTTGAAAGTCCTCAACCGATGCCTGGCGTCAAGTTTGATAAAGATACGTCACAGTATTGGTATAAACCAAATATATCGCGGGAACAAGGTGAGATAAAGTACTTACTACTCATAGGGGGAGGGGGGCAAAGCAAGCTGTTTGAGCGTCACATGTAAGCGGAGATATTTAACGAGTAATATCCTTATTTTCTCAGCGATTAGCATACTTAAAGATAAAGAGCCAGGCTATTTCGTGGTTCGTGATAGTCAGTCGTTTCCTGGTGCTTATGGTCTTGCTGTACGAGTTGCTGTTCCTCCTGCACATGTATTACAAGGAGACCTCAGTAAGTTGTTATTAATTTTTGTTAGAAAAAAAAATGAAAATGTGATATCACTCAAAAAGAATGTAGATATATTGCTAATGCTACCACCAACGTAACTAACTAAAGGGGCCGTATAAAGTTTAACAGATAAATAAAATGTAGAAAATTCGTGACTTTATGTCCGCCAACAGACTGTTCACGTTATCTGATGTTGTCGTGGCCTTGGCTCTAAGCCTCTTGAGCTTCGCATGCTAGCTACTTCCCTGTCTTTCGTTTTCTTCACCCTCATTTTGTCAATGTTAAAAAGGTTTTCGATTTCCAAAATAAAAAACAGTTATGGTAATGTTTTTCAGCTGGTTCACTGCATATAGTATCAATTTTATCCACAAAACTCATTTGCAGCAAAACTTGGTTTATATGGTATATCGCTCAAGAAACACGACRCAATGACGTATTTTCAAGTTAGCCTCCGTATAGCAGACGTTCCAAGCGGTTCGATTCTCTCTGCGGGAGAGAATCGAACCGCTTGGAACGTCTGCCACGGAGGCTATTTTCAAGCTGCTGGCAGTTTACTTTAGTAACCTTAGAATAGTTGTGAGGAATGCAAGAAGTTTAGATACCGCACTCTATGTTTTCTAGCAAAGATCGACCTTCCCAGTGAACTTATTCGACATTTCTTAATCGAATCTACCAAGAAAGGTGTCAAACTACGAGGCATCAGTAATGAACCGGTATTTGGTGAGTATTGTATCAGATAGTCTGCATCTATTGCATGTATTATGATATGCCTATGCTGGTATTTTTTCCAAAGCTCAGCTGCTAACGCAAAATATTGAGGGTTATAACTCTAATGTTAAACCATGATTAGGAAGAATACAGCTTTCAATTTTTCTTTGAATTATTTTTGGACTCTTTTAATTACTTTGAAGATTGATTGCTTGACTGATTCATTGATTGCTTTCAGGGAGTTTATCAGCGCTTATTTTTCAACATACGATTACTCCWTTATCTCTTCCAATAAGACTTGTAATTCCAAGTGAAGGTAACTCGAAAGTTATTTTGAACATATCATTATTTGTCCTTAATTTATATTATGTATTGTTCGTATTTGCGCAAAATACTTTTATATTATCATATCTCCTAGTCCTGTCCTTTCTTCCTGTCCTTTCTTATTTTCATTTCCCATTTAGAATCAAACAAGCATTAACTTTTCTTCTTTTTTTTCTAAGATCTTCTTCCCAGTAGCAATTTTACAGACAAAAAGGACGGACCTGCGTCACCGAAATCTCCCACTGGAGATAGTAAGTATACGACGCATGCCACGTGATTTATTTTACTTTAATATCTACATGAACTTGCTGTTACAAGCGCTAATTGGCAAAGATCTAATTTTCATCATACCGCGCGAATATTCACAATGTATAACGAGTGGATATTTACATTGCGTTGTAATGGGCTAGTTTATTGCTGCAAGTACGACGTATTTTTGTTGTTGTTGTTGTTGTTGTTGTTTGCGCTTTCTTATTGTTACTTTCAGTGTTATTTGTTGTTTCTTTGTTTTGTTTCAGTTTATTGCTGGTTTTGTTTTTATTTGTTGCACGTGTTGTTGTTGTTGTCACTGTTTTTGTTGTTTTTGTTTGTTTTTCCTGCTGAATGTCGTTCACTAACTAACGTTCTATTTCTAGCCATGCAGCTGATGTTCGTCGGTGAATGTGGTGTTGAGATGTTATCAGGAAACTCAGCCATACAAAAGACGGTAGAAAGTCTACTTGCTTACTCGGCAGAACCAAAGTTTACTTCGACCAGTGTRAAAATTACAAAGCAAGGCATAACAGTCACAGACAATGAGAGAAAGTAAGTTTTTATTGTTACTTGGCCTCACACAGCACAATCAGACTATCCCATTCAGTCAAAAGTACAGCCAGGCCCCAACCTGATTTTGTAATTCGGTCCGTCAGCTCCCCACACCTGGTTAAAAGTGCGTTAGACCATTCCATTTAGTTAAAAGTACAGTCAGACCATCCTGATTTAGTACGTTCGGTCCGTCAACTACCCACACTTGGTTAAAAGTGCGTCAGACCATTCCATTTAGTTAAAAGTACAGTCAGACCATCCTGATTTAGTACGTTCGGTCCGTCAACTACCCACACTTGGTTAAAAGTGCGTCAGACCATTCCATTTAGTTAAAAGTACAGTCAGACCATCCTGATTTAGTACGTTCGGTCCGTCAACTACCCACACTTGGTTAAAAGTGCGTTAGACCATTCCATTTAGTTAAAAGTACAGTCAGACCATCCTGATTTAGTACGTTCGGTCCGTCAACTACCCACACTTGGTTAAAAGTGCGTTAGACCATTCCATTTAGTTAAAAGTACAGTCAGACCATCCTGATTTAGTAATTCGGTCCGTCAGACCATAACACGTCAAAAGTGCGTTAGACTATAAAACGCTCGTCAGATTACCTTTTTAAGTCAATAGGTCCATCAGACGACACTATATTTAGCCAGTCATGCCAGAGTTTAGTTTAGTTCCAAACGATCTTGTTTAGATATTCAATCTGTTGTTCAAACCTTCTTAGTCAACGAACTCATTTTGTCAAACCAATCAATCGATCCCTCATACGTCAACACAACTAGAGTAATTATTATAACGAATATGTCTTCTTCTTATAATCGATGTTTCTTCTATTTTTTAAAGAGTGTTCTTCCGAAAACATTTCCCTATGAATAATGTACTATACTGTGGCATCGATCCACTAGATCAAAGGTAAAGTCAGCACTACAATAGTTTCCTTGCATGTGACTATTATAAAAACAATCGCGCGCTCCATTCAAAAACGCCCGCCAAACTGCGACATTGAAAAATAGACTAGTTCGCATGACAGTTCTCGACGTTAAAAACGTGTTGTCGAGTCTTCTGCACTGAAAAACGTTTCTACTAATCACAACGCTCCGTTGCACTTGATAAACTAATAATTTCGTCTATTTGTACTTCATCAGGTGGGATTTAAAAATACCGAGCTATAAAGAAAAATCAAGGTAAGTGTTACATGTTATTGTTTTTTGTTGTTTTTGCTGATCGTGAAGTCGCGCGTTGTCAAGAAAAAGGCGCGAACTTCGATTGCAGTCATTTGCACATTTGCACAGTACTGTCTTATGAAGCATGGATAAGTTATCAAATGGATTTTGTRTTTGATTCTATCTGGTGGATAAGAATGCATCCAGATGGTATCATTCTCTCCTAGATTGAACACCAATTAACCCAATGTAAATATCTTTTTATTCTAGAACCTTTGGATTAGTTGTTCGTAAAATGGGTGAAATTGGTAACGATTGCCACTTGTTTGCTGAAATGGACAGTGATTTTCCTATAAGTACAGTAGTGAATATTGTTAAYAAATTCATGACTGGGTGAGATTATTCCTCGTAGGATGGTGACTTGATTCAATCTGCTAAAAGACTAATAGACTTCTGAACCTTTTACGTCACTACTTGATTTTCAGTGCATTGTAGGATTAGTTTATAGAGAAAACAAAAGAAATATCAAACATGTCCTACAATGCATTGCGTATACAGTACATGATGTAAAAACTTCAGATCATATCAGCCCGAAAGGATAATGGCCTGGGGCCGAAATTGATCCATAAACCAAACCCAGATCACTCTCAAAGCCATACCGAGGAGTGAAAATTACGACTTATGGAATCAGTCCGGCTRTAAGTGATGAAATAAAGTCATGGTTTTGAAGCGCTTTTTTGTGTTTTTCGCAGATTGAACGAAGTCATAGCCTGCGTCACATCCGGTTTTATTTGTCAAATCAAAACCGGATATAACGCAGGCTAACGAAGTCACTAGAATTAAGATATTTTTGCTAGTCAAGATTGTATAGGATTGAGTATTAATCGACTGGGCAGCTTCCTCAGTTAATTTTGTAATGAACTTACAGCAGAAACCGTTGCATCGCGACTTCAAAGTCCAAAGGAAATCGTTGGGATTTAGGTTTTTCTGTGGTTTGGGAGTGGAGAGATACAAATCAGCCATTGACTGAACGAGTTTACGAAAAGCTCCGCCCCTCAGATCGAAGGAAAGAACAAAATCCAAACAAACTTCAAAACGAAGAAGTCGCTATGCAACGATTTCTGCTGTAAACTCGGCATATCTACTATTAACATTGTACAATCTCGTACAATTCTGTACAGACAATTAAACAATATTGCTCTATCTTTTTCTAGATAACTGAATAAACCCCACGAATTGAAAAACTAAATAATAGTTTAGTAATATAAGTTTTTTTCAATTGAATATCAAATAAAATAATCAAATATTGATGTAAAAAAGTRAAAGCACAATATCTAAATAATAGTCAATGTGTAGCAATAGAAGGGATAAATAGCGACTTGTATTGACTGTAGCGGTGCAGTGTTCCAGATAAAACACTTATACATAAAAAGGTCTTTACACACAGTAAAATATAGAAAGCATACCGACTTTTCGGGAAGAAAAGAGAAAAAATACAGGTCTTTTTACTGCACCAAATCAGGAACATCAGTAAGCATTTCTTCTTCAGTTTTTTTTATACTGTGTATAATGTTGGTAGAAATGAAAACTTTGGATTTTGCATCTGGATCTTGTGGATTCACTCTAATAAATCTCAGTCATATAAAAATCATTTTGCATAGCAGGCCCTGTGCAATATGTATAAAGCTAATTAAGTATCTGTGCAAGGGAATGGATATTGTCGCACATCATGGATATATGCTTGAAGAAATGATGTTGTTTTAAAAGTGAATAGAACAGCGTACAGAAAAATAAGAGAAGTATCTTTTAAGGCGTTATTAATCGAAATTCTTTGATGTGTTGAACATTCTCCTTGCAGTAAATGATGAGGTAGAGAGCATGCAATTTCAGTGCCGGTCTAGTTATTCAATTGCAAAATAGCAAAGAATTCATTCAGACGTCCATAGCTTGTTATATATGGACTTCTGGTTAATCCTTTCAAGTAGAAAAAAACCCGTGAATTTTGAACTTGCATTAATTTGATTAGTATTTTGCATTGTTCATTAGACGCAAAAGTTACAGCAACTATTGTATCAGTCCAACATCTCACAGGTTCTTCAACTTTACTTTCTAAACGGCCTGTTTAACTGGAATCTCCTCTTTTCGCAATTCTTTTGCAAGAGGTTCCACCAAGAACAAACTTGTAAATTTGATAGTTTGTCATGTAATCGCGCATTTCTTGGGAAAACRTGGGAATTTCCAGTGCACGATATATAGCTATTTCAAATAAGTTGTCGGAGAGGAACGACCATCGCTCGTCCGAAAGCAGTTGTGGATAATGATTTCAATGACTAATATTCGCTACTTTGCCACAAAACAAGGGCAAATGAAACAAACAATTTGTCTTCATTTAATGAAAACATCGGTAATTTTTGACGGCCTTTGAAAGTTGCCATCTATAATTAATAACAATAGTAACTTTCAGTCGTTCATTCTGAATTGCCCGGGAAACCTTTTTGAAATAGCTGTAAACCGACTCCAGGCCCCAAATAGTCTTCTTCACGGTTCCCTGCTCCATCTTGAAAGGCTGCATCCTACCTTTCAACATGGCGCAGGGAACACGAAGGAGACTATTGTCTTCATATTTAAGGGTTAMTATAGATCCATTGAAATCTAAATATATTATTATAAATAAGACATATATTCCTTATAGAATACCTGTACTTACATTTTAAGTTGTATTTGTAATAAATACAATTTCAAGCAATAAAACAAAAAATTCACTTTCCTTTGTTCCAAGGTTGTTTTATGGACATGTATGTCATGTAGGAGAATAGAGCTTTTGATAGTAGACCTCTTTGTTTCATTCATGCCTGTGAAATTTGATTTGTACTCCTGTGTTCTCATCAATTATCCTATGTCATTATGACGTTGCATCAAAACATTCTATTGTTTTAACGCTAAGAATATATTATGGTCGCCAGAGGGGATCAGAGTGACTACTTATTAGGCAAAATGTGCATCAGCAATCTTTGATGCATGGCATATCAAAACTCGATACATTGAAGTTCTACTTTCGGAGAGAATATAAATGGGTCCAAATTTCCACTTGTTTGAGCATGTAAAAACACTGACGTCATAATAAAGTAGGGTAATTGATAGGGATTTGGAATAACAACAAAAAATGCTTCAAAATCCTCTCAAAAAGTGCAGGATGAAAGGGCGGGGCGTTTTCTGATTTTTGACGTGTTGTGTCAACCAGACCCGTAGCCAAACTACCGAGCACAGGACTTAATAAAATTCAGGAGATGAAACAACTATGACAAATTAAGAAGTACCAAAAGCACCAACCTTTTTAATTTGAGTGCAATTCATCGGCGTCGATCTTGAAATTCGTCTGCCCTTTGCAAATGGCTAAAACTAATTTAGAATACACCTGACAGATATTTTTTTACACTTTTTTAAGTGAAAGTTGCACAATATATTTCGTGACATACTTAAACTCTTTTTTCCCCAGATGTAAAGAAAATCCCCAAAAGTTTCCGATCTGATTATGTCCTATAAGATTCCCTTTGGCATGGTATCCGAAAAACGTACAGACAATAGATATACGCACTAGAGCGGATTTCGTATGAGTGGGACACCGTTATCGCACGGTTACCGCACAGTTACCGGACCTGGCCTTTACAATTTTGGTAAACCAATGGGGCACTAGAATTTGGTTACAGTACGATTACGGTCACAGTACAGTACCGTCCGTTTCCCACTCATACGAAATCCGCTCTATTTTGGAGTCTTTATCTACCGATGCAGCCCAAAACGCATACTAGATTTGCTATTACAAACCAGTCCAGTGGAGCGCCAGATAAAATCGGRCCATCTACTCTTTAGAACTGCACTTTCAAAGTTATCGCGAAAGCGCTCTTGAAAGTTCCGACAAAATGGAAATTTCGCACCTGTGTTCGATTCTTGATAGGACATTGGAAAAGAATGCTGTAAGTCTGCATTCTCTCTGAGTCTCACATGCATTCATTCTTTAGAGGTCGAAATGCCATCACATCTACATGCACACAAATCATTTAAGTAACAATGCGCGTAAGAACTGTAGAACTCTCTATTGTTCTGCGGYATTGCAACTTCCCCACATACAAATGTCTTGGTTTTCACAGTGATTGGTAACGCATTTTTGAAATAAAATGTGGATAAACTCTATTTTGAAACAAAGTTTCTTTTGTATTAAAACCTCTTATCCAATCATAACCACTCAAAACAATAGCCAAAAGAAGCTTCTAATTTGCTATGTTCCCCACATAGAATTGCCTTAATTTTTTAGCTAAAGAAAGCTTTCATGAAGTCGGAATCAGATATTAAATAAAATATTAGAAAATGCGCTAACTTGTAAAATTATAGCAGATTTTCTTGGTTGAACAAATGGGATGGATGGATTATACAATACACAATTAGCACCTTCTTGCATTCCTTTGCCGTTTGCTTCTATAGTTCTTACTCGGGCCATAACTTAATCTCTCACTTGGATAAATTCAAAAGACTATCATTACAATTACACTTTAAAAACTTTTATTACAAAAAAGCAATGAATTCATAATAATAATAATAATAATAATAAAAAGAAATCATGATCTTATAGCATACAAAAATTTACAATACCTTGATAGTAGTATATAATTACAGATAAAAAGAAATAGATTGTGGGTTGAAATATGAAAGGAAAATTATAATAGCTAATAGACTACTGTTATTTATTTACAAACACTTTTTGATTTTTCTTCGTTGTTTCAATAAACCTTCCATATGATAGTATCAAAATCATGGTGTATGATGTTTGTACCGAATCTAGACAATGCCATACAAAAAAAATGCCATGTTTGAAAGGGCCTATGGATGTTGTTGCACGTGTGTTTAGTTTCAGCCAAGCATCATGTAGCAATACTCCCTCTCCAGGAGGGTTGTGACACATGACAAAAAATGGATTTTGGTTACCGTAAGCATACTTTTTGTGACAATTCATACAATTGTAGCATTACCATAAAATACAATATATTATCAATCTACATTAAAACAAGTGACCTTTCCTATCTTAAATAAAGATATTACACTTGCTTGCAAAAAAAACATTGACCCAAATGAAAATAAATGAAGAATTATTTGAGGCAAAAACCTAGTTTGGTAATTGTTCTGGAGCATAAACGCCCATTACCCAACTTRAGCATCATTTATGTCACTTTTATCTTTATTTGGGTAAATGTCTTGGAAAACAGGTGTAAAGCTAATTATGGTTAAAACATCTTTTGGTGGTTGAAGTGTCCCTGAAAATGAACATCATAACAGATCAATCATTGAAATCTTGGAACATTGGGATCCTTTGGACAAAAAATAGCTTACTAAGTGTAAAATAAGGCTTATAGAATAAACTTCTTCTYAGTCTAGATCACTAGAAACTGGCTTTTTTCTCCTCAGTTTTCCTGTGTCAWTATTCTTGAATGAGAAGAATTCACACAGGAGTCCCAAGGAGTACAGTTCCCCACAAAGCTTGCAAGGCTTTACCAAAATCCAGTAATTGTGGATTTCCATTATTATGAAAAATATCATTTATAAGATCATTTTATAAAACACAATTAGTCTGTATCGAAGCCACAAGTTTTAGAATGATCCAGTTTTTGATGGGTGGTTCATGTTAGCCAGATGGCCTAGCCTAATTTTAGATGGAGCTGAATCAGACTCTTATGCTTTAGCATCAGACCCAGGCACGTCGGCTATGCTTTTGCAATTTGCTACTACAATTTTTCCTCATACATGTACTTACTGGTTCTCCYGCCTGACACCTTGAGCAGTGGACAGTGTTATTACTTCTTCTATAGGAACTTGAAGCATACTAGTTTATGAAAAACAAAAAATTGACACGCTATACAATGATGGTATTAGCCCACGAAAGTAGTTTCAATCCCGGGAAGCACAGGGATCCCAACACCATGCCCACCAAGTAGAAGTATAAAAGTTTTCTCACCATATTAGTTACTTCACTTTGTTTTAATGTGCAATCAAGTGTTTTTGGTATACTATCTGTAACATCCATCTGTTCTTCTGTCTGRTGCTCTTTTATTCCCTGCTTGATTTCGTGTTCTCTTTGATAATTTGAAATGTTTTCTTTCGCACTGTGTGCCCATGAAAAACACGTCTTTTTCTACAAAGAAATAATCAACTATTCGCGTTAAATTAAGCATAATACATTGCTTCATCTTTCTCTCTTATGTTTAGTACAAATTTGCGGTAATTTCAACMATCAAGAGAAATTGTGCTGAACATGCATGTTGTCAAGACAGTTAACTTAACTTAAGCTTAAGTTAAAGTGGTCGAAAATCGTGTAATTTTGGGACATTATAACTCAAAAAAGGCATTCTTACCGTATTATAAACATCACAAGAGTCAACCAACGAAGAATAGTGGCGTTTTCTAGATAAAGGAGCTGTTTCTACGAGCATTTCCATCGTCTATCGTACATGTAAACATGGAGCGTAAACTCTCTGAAAGCGGTAGATTCAAAAATGTTTACAACTACAGCCTAATGGGGGTAGGGTGATACATGAGTGCATAAAATGTTCCATTCTCGCCATAATAGATATCTGTGGGCATAGATTATAAGTTTATAGACACCCTAACTATTCATTTTCATAGCTTTTGCAGTTACAGTTAAAAGAAAACGTTATATTTATGCGAAAAGAAGGCCTATCTAAAATGATCACGACCCTACCCCTATTTAGAAAGCTAGGAATGATAACTAGTGCTTATTCTCCCGAAAGCGAGGTCCACCACGAGGTGTTTGTGCAGAATCTGAGTCAAGTTGGACTTGCTTAGTGTTTGTGTTGATTTAACGGTATTTTYCTTGGTTTTCCCGTTAAAATGACAAAGGTACTAGGTAAAGGACGTGGTATGGTATCTCTAGAAACATGGCTGCCTTGTAGGAGACCTGGWCAACCGAGAGATCCGAACATCAAACCAATCAACATTGTAGCTTTGCTGAACACAGCTTCAAAACCCAAACAAACTGAAGAAAACGGCACATCACAAAAAGGTTGGTTTTCATTTTTGGCTTCCTAACTAGTATTAAGATCATACTTTAATATGTCCTGGTATTTCATATTGGAAGATTCTTTTACGTAGAAGCTCCAACTAGAKGTGTGAAAATTATGATAGCTGTTGCGCTGATTGCTATGGTCATCTGCGCAAACCAAGAATGCATTAAGTATATATGTACCTGTAGTTATGCACCTATCAATGTAAGTCCCTTGGAGGGGGGAGGTTATTCGGGCAAGGACTGGCAATATGAAAAGAAGTCATTTAAAAAATTCAAATGAAGTGGTCAAATTTGTTGTCAAATTTCCTCAACTTGCCCGAATTTCCCCAATCACACCCTCCCAAGGGAGACNTTACAGTTGCATTGCATCAATGTAAAATATCATGACATTTGGGCAGGCACTGTGAATTAATCTAATCAAGCTGCCAATGGTAACATAACTCGGAGATTTTAAGGTGATTTTGGAAAAATTTTAACAGAAAAATGTACCACAGAGCTTATCATGGTCAGCTAAAACATTGCTATAGATGCTGTATTATCATCAACAAACCTACGATCGCAGTCTGTCGAACCTCTGCCGGCAATTTCGGCTACAAAACTTGTTTCACTGTCCATCCAAATTTTCCAACTTTCTTTTAAATGACTAAGCACAATGTACTCCAAGTAAATTTCCTCAAAAATTGTCTCTTAGACCAGCTTTAGAAATGTTGATAGACGTTATATCTCCCCAGGTATTTCTCAGTCCACCATTTTGAGAGCCTGAGATTTTTTTTTCCAGCAGCTATTTTAAAAAGTTTACATGAAAGTGAGTGAGTGACAAATCGCGCCCTCCAATTGATAACTCTTCGATTGCTTACACAATCTCCGAGTTAAAAAGTGAGTGTTATCATGAGAATTGCAAAATTTAATATAGACAAACAGTATCAGTTAATCACATATCGACAGCTTGTATATAAGAAAAGTCCATGGCACAGCCTAGATATACACTTATTGTTCCATGTACTATGTTTCCATGCATTCATTTTCAGTACCTCCAACACCACCATCAACAGCCAATGGCCCTGTYACTCTTGTTGCTAAATATAACTATAAGTCCAATCCTAACCGACCAGGAGGGTTTGATGAGATGTCCTTGGTACAAGGAGAAAAACTRACCTTTATTGCGCCTCATTCTGTTAACCCTTATTGGTGGCAAGCTGAAAGAGAAAGTGGAGAATGTGCATATGTCCCAGCAACCTATGTTATGGTAAAAATTCTGCCCCTAGGGATTTTGCTTTGGCACATCAAATCAACTGTTCGCCCATCTCTCTTTGAGAGATATTTGGCTGTCATTCTACTAGGATGATGCTGAACCCTTGCTAGTTATAAAAAAGGTTTTTCAATATGCCTGAAACAATAAGCTTGATCAGCATTTGACTTGGGTCATGTTCGATCGTTTATATATAGATCTTAAAAGAGTCTTCATGGGTTGACCTTTTCTTGACCTTTTCCCTTTTCCCTTCTGTGAATGTTAATTTCTTAATGTATCTTAATTTTGATGAGCGTACTATATGCAAGAACCATTTTAATTGTGCCCAAAACTATTATAAAAATAACAAGTGTTTTTTTAACTAGGCATTAGAAAATAAAGTTACAAGTCTTCCATGGTTAGAGGAAAAAAAGGCTGCCAAGGAACAAGAAGCAAAGGAACGAGCTGAAAATGGTGATMTCCCGGTGCAACCTGTTTTTAAACCTTATCAATCAGGTAATACTGGTAAAGAATAGTGATAAGACAAGTCAACTTTGTTTTGCTTATTAGGTCTGTCCTACAATATAAGTGAGAAAAGAACTTTGGAATGTTAGGGGGAAGCCCCTACAGGCATTCATTTAAATATACAATATGCATTCCAAACTGTGACTAATAAGCACTTGATTATACAGTAGGTACAGAAATCATTTTAACATTCTCCATTATTGGTTGGAAAACTGAAAATGATGTAATTTTGGCCCACATGCATCCAAGAATCTTTGCATGATTTCAAACAGTACAAAAATTCAATATCTTTATTTTTAAGCCAATCAAAAAGCACCTTTCAACAAGAGATCATTTGTAAAACATAGAAAACAATAATCCTGATCTTAATGAGCAAGGACAATCAGTTCCTTTGAAATTATTGAACTGAACGATAACATGCAATCTCTAGAGAATATTGAATATTATAATTTATTTAAATTTGTTAACTTTATAGTCAGGTTAATACACTGATGATGGACGATGGATGTCGTCCGAAATATTTGTATTAAGAAACTTCTTGTTATTCTCTTTGTCTATAAAATCTTAACCCAGTTAACCAACATCTTCAAGAAAACAATAACAAAACATTCCAAAGGAATCATATTGAACTGTTCTTTATTTTATTTCAGCTTATAATAAAGTGGACAGTAGTAAAAATGAGTCATCTACACCGTCTAGTAATTATTATTGTGAAGTGTGCGATAAAACATTGAATGGAATCAAACCATATCAAGCTCACATGGTCAGTAAAGCRCATAAAGAAGAAGTTGCCTTAGCAGAGTTATACAACTCKTAATACCTTARAACTACATGGCCAGGTATTTCATTGACCAAAGAACAATATACCAAAATTAATGGCTTGTTCAACATAAAAGATAATATTCAAGATATTATATTGTAAACATTTTCCSTCAGGATGTTTAGAAAAGTTTTATTGTTGACTGTTGAAGCAATATCAGTTCTTKTACTCTGCCACAGGCAGTCCGAGAATATTGACAAATGATTTTTTTAATAATTTTTGTACTGACTAGTTTCTTYCTGTGGATATAGGTTTATGCTAGTGATCTCAATTTTATTAGTTTAGTGTTTCTCTCTTGGAAGGTTGATTAAGCTATCTTGTCACTCAGACATCGTGAGATATAATACTTGTACCCCCACCTCTCCCCTGAAGAGAACTCAACTTAAAAAATAAAACAGAAGAAAAATTCAATCAAGAAAAGTGCATATGAAGTCATAGATAGACACGTAAAAAGACATATCAAAGGACATTTTAGTATGGTACACAGTTCATATTAATGTACTTATTTTCTAAAAAACAATGGTGTTTAACGACTTGAGTGTGTTTGTATGCGTTGCGTCTGAGTGTGTTTGTATGCGTTGCGTCTAATTTGTATTTACTTTTATCAAGAAGGAAACCAGTCAGTACACATTATGAAAAGACTGTCTATGGCTTGTTTGTTATTTGAAGCGATTTGTTCGTACGTTGAGTTTGATATTGGAGATATCAAATACTGAAATTTTAGACAGCTACAGGTATTTTAAGCAGAAAAAGAAGTAGGTTTGAGTGCAGTGTCTTTGAGATAAATATCATTTAAGAATATTTATATCTTAACGTTACTCCACAGAACAAAATAAAATGCAAAAAAGCAATTTCAAAAAAACTAAATCTGCGTTTTTCTCATGAACAGTGTAACCTCTATTGAGCGGTCACACTATACAGAATGACCAAAGGTTACGATTAAAGTATGACTAAATATGAAAATCAACTAAATAGACGGCCGTTTCAATGAGGCCCAACTGT